CTGTCTTGGACGTGTCATCCTCATGCAAGTTGAGAGAATTCCTAAGAACATCCTCTATGCTGAGCTTGAGGAAGGAGTAAAACCCAAGGGACATCCAACACTAACCTACCTAGTCCGAGATGGTACGAGGCTCGCGAAGGCAAGCTTAAAAAAATAAAGCTCTAAGGTGATAGGGTTATTTAATTTAATGTCATTTAATGTTTACAACAGAGATACAGACAATTTTGAACAATTGGGCACTGCAGAAATCAGTATTAGTTCTCAAAAATGTGCTTCTGAAATTGACCTTCAATCGAAAATCATGAAAAAATATGTGTATGAACATTTTGTAGATCTATTATTTAAATGGAATGTTGAGATCACGTGTTCATTTCTTAATGAATTGAACGTACAACATTCCGCTAGCGATGACATTGTTTGCTATGAAGTTCCCATTGGTAACACTTTGGATGAAGTAATCTTGTGAAAAACAAAAAGAAGGCAATCAATTTTGGCAGACATTGGGGATTGCGGAAAAAAAGCAAACAAATAATGAAGACAGACTTCAGACAATAGAACGATTCATCTTTGATATAAATTGCAGACTTTCGGAATTGTTACAAAAAACAAGACAAGAAACAAATGGAGGATTTCTGTCAGGTAATTGACATTATGCTTGATCATAAGCATATATAATAGAGAAATGTCAAGGTGCGATTACAACACACTATCACACACGTAAGGCTTCACTAAATGACTAAAGGGTGTTGCCAAACAAGCGATACGATTTTTTCCATCTGTCAATTTGACTGTCACTTTATGTTTATGTAGCACTTTGAGCCTAAATTATGTGTTGAAGCAACAATTTTTTAATTCACTTATTATTATTGGATACCCATCGATTTCGAATTTTTAAAAAAAATATAATAAATGTCACGAGATTAACAAATTGAGAAATAACACATCAGTTGATGTATTGACATTCGAATTACGACCGATGTGGCGTATGTACAAACGTACGCTCATTAGTTTATATTTATACTTCATCCGTTTTTTAATATAGTGTCTAGTAGATTCATACAAGTGTTCAGCCAGGATTTTTTCTTTAGGGGGGAGGGAGCTTTGGTGGGGTAAAAATATATTGTTCATTTGTAATAAATCATTCTATAAGTCATATAATGGAGGTATGTCTTTTAAAAAAAAGTATTTAATATGTTTTTCTTGTTTGTAATTTATTTGGATAATCTCCCCTTTACAGTCACTTATAGCATGCCTAACAATACTTGGATTTCGGTACATGTTTATTGTGGACTAAAGCACATACCAACACACATCAAAGGTTTAGCATGGTAGGCAGGGTCAACGAAATGATGCAAACATTGAAATAATATTCTTTAAACACCGCTGATTAAAACATTGTTTTTCATTCATTCATCTGTTTTATCATTAACATTGTAACATTTTTACGTTGAGAAAAAAAAATGTTTCCAATCAATTTATTTTAAAAATCAACTATATGTGTTTATAGTTATACATAGTTATTTTTTTCTTATATTATTCACTATTATTTTATCTTGTAGTTAAATAACAAGGCATCCCATCATGGACATGTGAAAGTAGGCCAGTAAGTACAATCAATTACTCTGGCGTTGTTATAATGATACTAATGTGTTGTATGCCTTATATGGTTTATACTGGCCAGAACATCCCTTCTTGTTTTTTTTTTATTTCAATAAACAGGTCTAGCTCTACATGCTTATTATTGGAATATTATTTTACTAGATCTATAAATTCGCTTTACCAGGATTCCTTCTTGGGATAAGGGGGGATGAGGTGGGACAGAAAAAATGTTCCATTGTTTTTCAACCTTACATTTATTATTTGTAAGAGACAAACACTCGTACTATAAGTTGCATGAAAGATGTATTTTATGTTTGCAAAAGTAATTTAACTGTTTTTTTTTTCTTCATTTTGTTTCACATTTTATTTCAGACACCAAAAACAAAAACATCCTGTTTATTGGCAGCGACCAATTTATCCGTGCATTTGTATGGCAAAAATTTAGAAAGGAAACTTTCGGGCAGAACTCAGCTCTCAACAAGCTACAGCGAATTGTATGGGAATCAGAAGGCATCCATTTGTATGAAGGTGGCGTTTCCGGTTCTTCTTGTAGGCAGGAGGTATTGGATCTGATGACATTTTGTAAATACTTTACGCAAAAAGATTTTCATGGATGCATTATAGTTGTAAGCTCAGCAGCTGACAAAAATATAGTGAACATGTTTGATGATACTTTCTTAAAGTCTCAATGCTGGCCCATCACTTGTCACTAGAGAATAGTTTTCTGTCGCTTCTTTTGGTTAATAATTAAACCTCGAAAAAAAAACAAGAAATTATGATTCAGATATCTCCTAATAGGTTTACTTAGCCCGAAAGATCTAGGTGAATGGTCACCCCTCAGCGTGGTAGACCACTTTACATTTCTATAATAATAGTATATAGTGACGCATCAAGACAAGCTGATTACCGTCTTGCTAAGGCAAATAGCGGTTTTTAACGCCTCCTGATGAGTGTTTGGCGGAATAGATCTCTCCGCCGGCTTTCAAAAGATCAGTGACTATCAAGCAATGTTTCTCTCAGCGCCTTAACAGAAGACAACTTACGCTTTTAGAACGCTTACCAAAGGTGTCTGTGCTCAAGGCATACGATGTGAAGACCACACTACAGATATCGATGCTGGAATAAGCAGTGCTGACTGCTTTTTGTTCATCAGCTACGCTTGGATCAGCTTCCCCCCCCCCCCCCTAAAAAAAAGTCTAGTTTAGGCGCCATCTTGCTTTAACTGACGTAGCAGGGAGCAGCAGGCGGCTTCCAAACGAGACAGCTTGAGATTTCTTACAAATGCTGCGGGATATGCATGGGGCCAAAAGAAAATGTACTGCCGATGAGAAACTAGACGGCGAAGAGAGAAGCTGAACCAACCACTGGCAGACAATAACTAAGTCTGCACTGGATGTGGCAAAATATGCACTCAGCTTAAACTGGACTTCTTAATATTGCGATGCGAAGAAAAGACTTGAAAATAAATAATTATAATTGTTACTATTATTATTTAGCTTTTTTAGTCAATTTCTAATGTTTAATACTTAAAAACATTTATACTTTCTTTTGTAGAAGAGGAAACTTTTTTTTTTATTTTGCTTTTTATTTATAATGTAAAAATATAAATGATCTTAAAATATGAGAGAGTATGAATGATGGCGGACAGGTTATATAGGCATTCCGGCAAATGACCGATGGGCTGGTACCCTAATGGACCAGTAAGACCACAGTAATTATCTTCTTTTTTATGTCACGTCTGTATTTAATAAGATAATCGATGCCACTATGTCACATATTATATTGGTTAAGGTTTTATAGTATTTTCTTACAAATGGAGCCCTCGGAGCGACGTGTTTTTTTTTTATCTTTTACAGACTACATTGTGATAGGGCTTACAGATATCTAACACATTTTCCAATGTAATGTAATAGCCTACATTGACCTACATCCATAGACATTTCTACCATGGCCTACACACTTAGCGATTAAAAAGCAACCTAAGGTATATATTTCTTATAAGGATATAGTGTTTACTGTATGCATGTGTATAGTTATCGATACATTATCAAACTTAACACTTTGACTCTGAGGACAGGTAGACCTATAATAGGATGCCCCGGGTGAATAGAAATGCCAAGACAGATTTTAACACCCTGTACGCCCCTGAATGATGCTTCTACGGGTATCGCTGTATTGACATGAGGTTGAGTTGTTGACAGGTTATTACAGTGTTTCTGTTATAAATGAAAGCTGTATTGAAATGCGTAAAAGTAACCCCAAGTAAATATTCTATACTTTCTACCTTCATATTGGTATGGCTTTGACTCAAAGTTGCTATATTGAATGATCTATAATTTAAAATGAAGGCTAATTATTTAAAATTTGAGAAGACTTTGAAAATCTTTTTGCAGCATCAGTCAGAATTTTCATCTCATCTCTTCTCTGCAACGTGCCCCATTTTGGGCTGAGTGCAGGGTTGCGCACTACTTGACACCTGCCAGGAGAATGACATAAAATAGATAAATTGAAGAAGCACTCTACGTATATTTTAATCAATGAATGCAGATAGATAGTTGTTTTTTGTTTTTTTATAAAAGAATTCTTTAAGGAAACATTTTCTTTAGATTTTTTTGAGGGGAAAGGCATTTATAGTATAGCGAAATAACATAGAAGCTAATTACACCTGTTGAAAACAACCCTAGTGACGCCTCTGGTGTAGTTTTTAATGTTAAAAACTAGCCTTAAATAATAATTCGTAGGTAGTTGCCTCATTGTTTTTTTTTAAACCTTTTTTTTTATGTTCTGGTGTCAAACGGTAATGGTTTGTGTTCCTTCATTATAAGCGTCATCATCGTTGTATTATTCATCGACACATGATCAAGCTACTTCAATTTAAAATATTTCAATATAACTGATTAAGTATATTAAGCTCTTTTCACTTTCCTTTCTAAAAATATGTTTGATCTGCTTGCACTAAAGTTAGATCAATTCTATAATTACACCCATTACTACAACTATTTTACATATTTTCAAAGAGTTTATTGCTTTGGATTCTTAAACCTTAATAAAGCTTCATATAATTGAGTGATTTTGAAGATATTGTTGTTGTTTCCTATTGTTATGTATTTAAACTATAACCTTATCTTCTTCATTTTATTTAAATCCTAAATTATTATTTTTTTAGAAAGAAAAGTTGATTTTAAAATAGATCACTGTTACGTTGACGATAACACTTTACTCATCCCCATATATTTTTTTTTAAACTTCTTAGATTTTATCTCCTAAAAAGGGTTACTAAATATAGTTTTTAATATTCCATGACTATTTTCACTCGTAGCCATGTAATTACACCTAAAAATGCCAATTTACAAATAATTAATTTGGCAACACAAAAAAAAAACCTTTATAAAAATAATTTAGCCACATCTTTATTTCTGTGCGATTAAAAAAAGAAGGGTAACACCATTTAAAAATTTTTTATTAGCAATTTCATTAATATTTTGCGCGCGTGGTGGCTTATTGAACCAAAATTTACTAATAAAAAATAAAACCTAATAAACTACTAAAAAAGACACAGAGATAAAGACACATTTCTTATTCCATATACTAGGACAAGTTTGTACAAATGCACCTTCTTCCTTAGTGCTATTACAGCATGGATTGCCTGGCAGAGGTGAAGTCATTAATCAACATCAAAAATCATAGGACACAGGGATACACGTAGGACGTAATTATCTTCTCTCTTGAAGTCACGTCTGTCATTTATAAGATAAGATGAGTGTTAAAGAGCCAGACTCCCGAACCGAGGTGTATCGGAATCAAATCTGACGAAGAATGGGATTTTAAAAATAGTGATTCTTAAGACACCATCTTATTGGTGTTGTCCAACTTGGTCGTTGTGCTGGCCACATGAAACACCTTTTAATTATCGGCCACAGAAACAAATGTTTAAAAGGGGTACATCAATATGTTATTTCTTCCCTGTTTATATTCATGGATAGTTGCAATATCTTGTTTATATTCATGGATAGTTATATCTTGTTTATATTCATGGATAATTGCAATATCTTGTTTATATTCATGGATAATTGCAATATCCTGTTTATATTCATGGATAGTTGCAATATCTTGTTTATATTCATGGATAGTTGCAATATCTAGTTGCAATGAAATATATTCAGAAATGCTTTTTTCTTTATGTAGAAACATTGGAAACTAAATATCATGTAAACGTCTTTTTGTTTGTTTTCTGAATGTGGAAAAAATACAAACTCCACCAGAAACGTAATGCGCTAGTACTATCTTTTTGTGTCCTATGTGTTTTGTTTTTTTTATTTTAAAAGTTTCATATAAAAATAAATTATGAACAATGAAAATAAAAATTAAATGATAAGAATTATTTTTACATTTTTCCATTCATTATTTACAAAGAATTGCATTGCCAAAAATGCAAGACAAACGTAACAAGTGCCATGGTCCCTAAAAGAGCATAGCGAATGATTGTTTATTATTTCTGGTCATTTAGATTGTCGATAGGTACATACTAAAAACACTTTTTAACAAGTTTGTAGTCAGAATACAATGTACTATATATTCCCTTGGAAATTAAAAACAGGAGTTTTCCATTGCTGCATCCAAAAACAAAGTCCTTAGACTGTGGACCATTGAAAAATCCAAGTCATTGTTTAGCCAACAAGCCTTTTCAAACTTCTTAAGAGTCTGTCTTACACGACCAGTAATAGTGTAAGTTTTCTGTTAAATGGTATAGATGCAAATAACATCATACATTTAAAATAAAAACATGTATCTACAATATGTATATATTTCTAAAAAAAAATGTGCACATATACATTTACAATTTAAGTTAGTTTTAGAGTTTCTGCATCAAACATCTAGGCGGTATTGAGATTGGAGATTATTCCGTTGTTGTTAGAAAAAGATTTTAAATAACAATCCATATACTCCAACGTTTCCAACAGTTTGTCCAACTTGTCATTCACATCAGGTAACTCACTTTTTACACGTGACACTCCACATTCGTGAGCCGTAGTGGAAGACGAGGCCCACGCCACGTCATCTTTCACATCATGAAGATGTTTATGGAAAACATCAAATTGATCCTCGGCACTTCCAACCAGTTCCTCAAATCTGTCTAGAAAGTTATCTATTAAAACAGGCTCTACTAGAGCTGACCATTTAACAGTCACAGAATTATCCGAAATTAACCCAGACGATATAATTTTCTCTAAATTTACAGAGATCCAATCGTTTGAATGTGATGCTAAACCTTCTTTGGGTTTGTTATAAAGAGAAGATAATTCTCCTAGAACTAAAACTTTTTTTTTGTCCTCGGCATTGTTCTCGTCAATAATTTCAACCTTCCATGTAATCTTTACTGGCCAAATGGCTTCCTCTTGTCCATTTTCTGAAATCTCCAAATAGAAAAACAACATTTTGTCTCCATAAAATTTCATTCGGATGCGACAGAAATACATTTCATTGAAAATGGATTTTGCCGTGACCTCTTCTAAATAATTCTGAAACTTTTCTTCCACATTGTCTATACGTGAGTAATTTGCTTTAAAAATTGCTTCTTCTCTTAAATTTTCTGCACAGACTCTAATATTCTGTATAGATGTTTTAAAATTATCTCCTCCTTGAGCCATTTTGTATCAAAAGTATAGTCTGTTTATCTGTATGTAAAAAAAAAGTAGAAATTAAACATAAGGTATTTAAACACAAAGTATTAAGGTATAAACTCTATCAAAAATGATATCACTTCCGGGCTACGCCTACATCTATATGGTAATGAAATAAAAGTAAAGTTCCCCTTTCAGACCATTCAGTTTTTTTGGGAAGACGGTGTTAAGGGTGTAATGTGGCCAGGACAAAGACCTAAAAATCTAAAAGTCTTCACCGAGATTCGATCCCGGGACCCCAAGTTAGCAAGCCAAGCGCTTAGCCACTGTCACCGAGCCCCTCTAATGAAAGTGTTGCATAATCATTACTTTTGTTGGTAAACAGTGATTTTTTTTTTATAAAGTACAGCCAATAGTGTACAGACTGATACATTGTTGTGGTTTCTTCATATTCAACAATAATCACCTTACCTATAAATTATAACTTTATCTTTTTTATTGTTTTTAATTTGGAACTGATTCTGGAAATTATGTGTGGTCGTTGGAGAGAATCTGGGTCTAGATCTACATTCGTTTATCAACTTATGACTATCACTCAACCCTTCCAATTTTTCCGCCTGATAAATAACTTTTATATAGATCTATGTAGTATACGAGAACAAATCATGACAGCGTCTCAGGTAGTGCTAAAAGTCTTAACGAAAGTACATCTATAGCATGTAGATAGGTAGAGATCTAGATGTGTATGTCTCGTTGATACATTGGAAGTAATACAACATTTAGATGTAACTTTAAAATCACTATGAATTCGATCGAATATCATGAAAAAACAGTGTCAATCATTTGAAATGTACTTGGCCATGTTTTGTCCCGCTCACATTTGAAATATTTTTATGTTTTTATATCACTGCCTGGTATGACATTAAGAATAAAAATTCATACAATCCTAAATGCTGCTGGTAAAGTCACTGAGAGAAAAAAAAACAACATTTGAGCAGCCGTTTGAGAAAAACGATCATAAGAAAGCTTAAAAAAAATCACCATTTGGGTCAGCATTTTGTGATTTAACAATCACAAAAGACAAATAGGCACAAAAAGTATTTTAGCGGTTGTAGTTATACATCATTAAAATTAAACCATCTGATATAAGCTTTTCGCATGTAAATTATGAGTGAGTCCGGTGTGAATGAACATTTTGGTTTTCTATAGTTATAATGTTTCATTTAGTGTAATGCACAAATTGTAAGACACATTTCCTTACGGATAATAAAGAGTATTATTAATTAAATACTATTATTTACCTATTTCATGTATGCTTAACACAGTGTAGAAGATAAATTGTGTGTGTCGATGTGTAAATCTAATTGTTTACTTACTTCTTGTACCCCTGCATTACACGGCTCTTACAACATACCACACAGAACGAGAACGAGGCCAGAGCACGCTAACACATTGCAGTGTATCAAAACTGGGTCAATCACGTAGCTTAGAATGAGTATCCTCGTTTCGGATTACGACACACAGCAACCCAGTCTAATCAATTGTGCAGCAAGGATCGGCCTAATGTTTGGACTACTTTCCAATCAATATATTTCTATGTGACTGCTGGGGATTATCCCCTAATTCTACATACTCAAATGCTAAGTGCTTTTCATCCACCTAAATAATGCATTAGACTGAAAGATATCTCACAAGCTCCTACACCAACACGACAGTTGTGACACTTTAATAGTGTTTTGTAGGTCTTTCTATTGTATCAATTAATGAATCTTTAGTTGCATTGTATTTCTCTTAAAGGAGTATGAGAATAACATATGTACAGATGAATGGCCTAGACCATGGATGGGCAACCTTTTTCTATCAAACTTTCTCGTGCAGCCCTATGAGTTACAGTTGGATTATTGTTCTTTCATTTTATTATCAAAACACGGGCTCCATCAGCTTTTACACTCGCCATCTTGTTCCATGGCAACCCATGATTTTCACCATAGTTTTTCATAGTATTGAATAAATTGAGGTCTGAGTTTGCGTCTTTGACTAAATGTTTCGACATATTACCAAGTCAAATAATACATTTACTTTAACCTTTTTAGAACGATGTATATAGACACTTTTTTTTTTATTATCTTTTTTTATCAAAAGAATCAGAATAGTATAGAAGACTTAACGTTTGTATTATAGATTCGTATTTTGTTAGAGCGGCAGATTGTTTGAAGAGTTGAAAAGGCAGAGCTAGCTTTATTGATCCGAATTAGTATATCATCCATCCGCCTCTTCGTAATCTTCTTTATTATTTCGCTTTCTTTTTTTATTTGCTCACTCTTGTGTTGTATTTTTTTAATTCTAGATTTCACTGAAATCTTCCTCCACACATAGAATCAATGATATCAAAAAATAAAAATTGGGTGCAAAAAACTAATTGGATTGTTTTGTCACATTAACATTCATCCTTTTAGAAAACATAATAGTTTTAAATCTAATATTTTTTTAAATCCAATATCATAACGGTAAAATAGACACACTGCAGCTTGTTATTATTATAGCTTTTATATAGCGCTACTTTCATGCTTTTGGTCCAATCTCTTTTGTGAGCCAGTGGACCAGGCACTCAGTAAACACAACTCTGCCCGAGTCGGGTGTCAAACCTCGATCCCCCTCAAGCGCACTTAGCCTCTCGACCACGCTTCCCACTAATTAAAGTGTGTTAATATATCATTTATATCCGTTGAAATATTCTGTTTGCATAAATGTTACAATAATCGTTGTAATTCATGGTGTAATTAAAAAGAATAGCTAAATGTAAATAAAACATAACATTATTATCAATAAATGTTCATCAGGTAACGATCAATCACTCATTGGCTTCTACAAGAAACAACAGATAAAACAAAATACATTTAAGCACATTTAATGCGATTCTTTCAAATTAGATTAAAGGGGAAAAAAACAGCCAACACCATTTTATATAGACATTAAAAACACTAAGAAGACTTCGTTTAAAATCTTTTTCAATTTCAAAATATGTTTAACTATCCATCACATGTGTCATTATATGTGTTCTTAGTTCCACTATATTTAAACACACTTCTCCAGAGTTCGTTTCTTGTCTCATTCGAATTCAAAATCCATCACATTCGTCATTATATGTTCAGTATATGTATTCTTAGTTCTTCTATATCTAAACACACCTCTCCACGCTCGAAAAGTTTTAACTTTTAATATGATCCTTTAGATTTCATCGTTTTAATGTATAAACTTCTTAAATACTGTCGCATTGCTATAGCAGTGACATCATCTGTAATGGTAAGGGTTCGATTCTTTATTCAACGTAAGCAGTGCCTTTCATTGCTACAAGAAAAGAAGAGACTAATTTTAATTTTCTGTGTAGTTCCTTCTGTTCATTCCAAGGAGTTTGATCTTGTTTCAGATCATGATACAGAGGGCTTACGATGCTTGTATCAAAGTTAAATTTT